ATTTTAAGTCTTTTATCCATCTTGAGTTTATTTTTGTGTATTGTGTAAGTTAGTGGTCTAGTTTCATTTTTTTGCTTATAGTTGTCCAAATGTCCCAATACTATTTTATCAAAGAGGTTTTTACTCCATTTTATGCTTGTGCCCACTTTGTTGAATGTTAATGGACCATAGAGACTTGGGATTATTTCTGTGTTCTTTATTCTGTTCCACTGATCTGTGTTTGCTCTTATGCCAGTACCAGACTGTTTTGATTACAGTGGCCTTGTAATATATTTTGATGTCAGGTATTATGATCCCTCCTATTTTTTTCTTTCTCAAAATTAGTACAGCTATCTGGGATTGTTTATGGTTCTATATAAATTTTTGAAATGTTTGTTCTATATCTGTGGAATATGTCATTGGTAATTAATAGGGATTGCATTAAATCTATAAATTGCTTTGGTTCGTATGGACATTTTATGCTTCCACTTACTTGTGTCTTTCTTAATTCTTTGTTCAGTGTTGTGAGTTTTCTGAGTCTTTTACCTCTTTGGTTAGGTTTATTCCTAGGTACTTTTTTTTCCTATTACTTTATCAAGTGGCATTTATTTCCTGATTTCTGTTTCTGATATTTCATTGTTGGCATACAAAAATGCCTTTGATTTCTGAATATTGACTTTGTATCCGCTATTTTGCCAAATTCACTTATTAGGTCGAATAAATTTTTGGTAGAGTCTATAGGATTTTCAGTGTACACTAGCATGTCATCTGCAAACGATGACTGTTTTGCTTCCTCCTTTCCAATTTGGATGCCTTTTATTTCTTTTTCTTGTCTGTTAACTGTGGCTAGGAATTCCAATACAGTGTTGAAGAGAAGTGGTGAAAGGGGGCATCCTTTTTTGCTCCTGATATTAGTGGGAAAGCTTTTAGTTTTTGCTCATTGAGTATGATGTTGGCTGTAGGTTTCTCATATATGGCCTTTATAATGTTGATATATGCTTCCTCTACTCCCACTTTCAGTGTTTTTATCATAAATGGGTGCTGCACCTTATGAAATGCTTTCTCTGCATCTATTGATATGATCATGTTATTCTTGTCTTTCCTTTTGTTTATATGATGTATTATGTTTCTTGATTTGCGAATATGGTATCATCCTTGCATCCCTGGGATGAGTCCCAGTTGATCATGGTATATGATCTTTTTAATGTGTTGCTTCATGAGGTTGCCATATTTTGCTAAGGATTTTAGCATCTATGTTCATCAGCGATGTTAGCCTGTAATTTTCTTTGTTGTATCTTTATCTGGTTTTGGGATAGTGAATGAACAGGAGTTCCGTTAGAGAAGAACATCCATAACCATGATATCCTCACTCAGCTAGCCACAATTTATAAAGGTGGAAAGGATATAAGACTATTATAAGAGGGGGGAAAAGAATGTGAGCTGAATTAAGGAAGAATGCTTTTGCAAGGATAGGAGGAGGAGAAATAGTAAGAATAAGGAATAGGAACATGGCGTAGCATGGGAGAAGGTAAAGTTTATAACAACAATGAGAAAGGTCAGGAAGATGGCAAAATGGAGTAATACCAGGGAAGGGTGCTATGTAGGAGTTGAATAATAACATGAAAAAAATATATAATCTGAATAAAAAGAATAAAAAATAAAAGACTAAGAGTGGTGAGTTAGGTGGAATGTGACTGAAGTGAGAGAATAAATATTAAAAGGCTATATGAAAGAAGAAAGAAGAAGAAAGAAAAAGAAAAGGAAAAAAGAAAGAAAAACACCAAAGTTCTCAGGAAGAATGAGGTGAAATTTGTCTCAACTGTATGTGTTTGCCTTCTAACTTCTTTCTGGGTAGTCTCTGGGTTTTTATCAGCTCAAGGTCCCAAGGTGGGTCAGTCATCCAGCCTCTGGCAATACTGCCTCTATCTCCTTCCCCGGCCTCTGGAGGGAGCTTCTGTTGTAATCCAGAGGGTGAGGCTTCTGCATCTCCTGTGGGAGGCGCTGTGCAGTTTTCTGGGAAAATTGTGGTTGCATTTCCCTTGCCCCTAACACCTCCCATCTTAGTCTGTCTGAGTTTATTTCCAGTAATGTATGGTTTCTGATTAAATAGCTGTCTGTTTCATGGTGAGGGGAGGCAATCCATGTAAAAGTGTCAGCCCTCTTCTACTTGATGAAGCTCTGGGTAGGAGCCGAGGCTGAGCAGGACCCTGAATCTTCCTTGCTGCCCACTTTCTGAACTTCCTGCTTTCAGGGCCTCAGTGAAATAGGGCTGTAGGACCCAGTGTACTTTGTCTTCCTGTGGGGAATTCAGAATGGACCCTCTTAGTCTTTCCTCTTACTGTCTTACTCTTGTGGAAATGCCCCCTGCACGTTGTTAAGGCTGCCCAGGAAGTTTTGGAGATCTTCCCTGTTCCTGCAGGAGTGGGGGTTGGACTCAATCTCCCCTTCCCAGAGGTTCCATTAAGGAAGGGGGTTCAGTCTGGCCTCAATTAATCTCAACTGCACAGTTCCCGGCTCACTGTCCTCATGGCATGCTGTGGCCCACACTCTCCATTCTGCACTGTTGCACTGGTCTGGGGCTGAGAAACCACCTCACTTTGCACTCCTTTAAGTAATTTGCTTGGGTGTACTGAGTGGAAGCAAACTGTACCCACTGTCCTCCCTTCTTGGTGGCAGAGCAGCTGTGCATGCAGGGTCCCTGCCCAGCACGCCTCAGCTCCCCTTTTTAAGAAACATCTTTCTGGGTGCTCCCACCGCAGTGCCCAGCTTTCCACACACTCCACCTCTCCAATAAGTCGAAAGTCTATCTCAGTCATGGCCCGTTGCGGCCTCTTTTTCCCCCAGGTCCAGGTGTAGACAGCATTTCTCTCCTCTCTGGCACTATCCCAGTCGGCCTCCATCTAGGGTGTGCCACTAGCTGTGTGTGTGTGTGGAGCCTGCCTCTCCCTGCTGACTTTGCATATTCAAGTTGCTCCCAGCAGTGTCTGGGGATTCCCAGCCCTGGGAGGGGAGGGAGCTGCTATGCTGCCATCTCTGAGCAGGCTCTCCACAGATGCTGGCGATGCAGCAGCCACAGTTGCTGGTGCCACGCTGGGGGACTTTCCCAGTCCACCTATAAAACCTCCTTACCATCCATTTTGAAGTGTCCTCTGTACTCTTTGGCTTCTAAACTTTGTATCAGCCAAGAGTCTGTTGACTGTTAACTTTGTTTTTCAGAAGATCAGCTAAGTGTCTGAGTTGGAGGCAAGAGCAAGTGGGCTTGGCTCCCACCTATTTTGCCTGCATCTTCTCCCTTCCCTCTGCTGCTTTTTTTTTTAATGAGTGTATCGCTGTGCTGCAGATTTTATATATTTTTTACATAATCTTCATGATAACCCCATGACTTAGGCTATAATTTCAAATTTTGCATGGAGGCTAGAGAGATCATTTGTACGCACTTAGTAAATGGCAAACTGGGATTTGCATTCCTGTCTGACTGCAAAGTTATTATTCTATATTGTCTCTTGCACCCTGCTCTCTATCCTAACTAGTTTTTCTAAGTAGTTTTTCCTGCTGAGGGCTTTATCTTTTTGTTTTTGAATCTGATTTCTGTAGACCTTTTACTCTTTACTAAACTACACAGGTGTTTGACCCTATGAAATTTTTATTATCTTTCATTAAAATGCTTTAAAAATTATTTTAACATAGAATGATGTGGACCCCGGCTCATGGGGTGTATGGCATTATGGATGAGACAAGACAAATTCACATAGACTACCTAGTCCTGTGGAGAAAAAGGGACCACACAGCCACTCTCTCAAGGGGAGAATGCCTCGGAATGCCTCAGCCATTCTCTCAAGAGGAGAGCACGCCAACCCTTTCCTTGACAGGCTTTTATTGCTTTTCTGGGCACCCATTGAGGATGGTCCTCATTTACTATGCACAGGTTCACTTTAGGTGGTTACCTTTTACAGAAAGCAAAGGAAAGAATGATGTTAATTACTTCAAAGAGAAGGATGTTACAGACCAAGGGGAAAAGTAGTTGAACCAGTTACACTTCATACTGGGGAGGTTTAGCACAGACTTTAGGAAGTTAACAGTAAGCACTCTCTGCCTCAATTCAGGGTGACAGTTTTAGCAAAAGCAAGTCTCATAGCAGTCTAGGTACAGTGCAGGCCTGATTCCCCATGGGAGAACCTATCTGTGGGTCTTGTGCATCGGCCCTCGCTTTCCACTGGCCTTCTGAGTGGGAGCTGGGCCCACGCCACACAGAACAGTCTCCTATAATAGAATACTTTGTTCCTTTTTCTGAGATTATTTAATTTCCAGGTACTATTTTGGATAAGGATCATCAATTTTACTGAAGTCCTTTATGATGCTCAGAAGTATAGTCCTACACCAAAATTTGCCATTGGCTAATCAGGAGTTTTAGGCAGGTCACCTCTCTTTGAGTGTTGTTTTCATTTCTTTAAAGTAGAAATAACTACATCTGAGATTGTTAAGAGAAAAGAGTTTAAAAGAAATATTAAGATTGTTATGAATGCTCCCAATTAATTGTTAGCCTTTAAGAGACCCTCCTTATCTTTAGTCTATAACTGGTTGCTGCTAAAAAGAAAAAATCAGTTTACTTCCCGGATGATCCTTGGTTCTTTGGTTATATTTCAGGAAGGGGTACTTGATTACTGGATTTCTCTACAGACTTATGACACTCAGGGACAAAAATTGATGTGCCCTATTAAAAATGAATAGTATTCTTTTACTAGCTCCACCATTCAAATAAAGAAAGGAAGTGGACTTTCAACTATTTGTCTTCAAAATAGTCAAAATCAGCAGGGGATTTGAGACCTCAGAATCATTTTTGTTTTAATAAATGGTGGAGCCTGTATGAAATGGTACTGTATTGTGACAACAACAGATGCCCCATTTTGAAATTTGACAAGGACTGAGGGTAGGGGGTAGAGGTGAGGGCAGGGCCCTACAGAAATGTTAAGTGCTAGGGTCCACCCCTTAGGGTTTCATCTGATTGACTATTTTTGTTATAGGAATGGAATGGGAGAAACAAAGATTCCATCCAGAGAGCAGTGGAGCACAGCAGTGTGGTCATCAATCTTGTTGGGCGAGACTGGGAAACCAAGTAAGCCTTTGACTCATTTTTACTTTGGGAATTCTGGGAGGGGGGGGCCTCTGCCTGCAGAGCCCCTCACCAGTTATAGATGAGAATAATTCGACCAAGACAAGATCTACTTGGGGAGGAAAGGTGGCCAATCTCTCAGAGGAGAAGGGCCTTGAGCCAGTTCCTCAGTGGGCTTTTAATGGGTTTAATTTGCACATGAATACAGGACATATATGTAAAGCTCATCAATCATTGTCAGTAATGATCAAACAATAGATAACATTCAAAGAACTGTGGGGCTTATTCTGAGTCAGGGTCAGATAGCTAAAGGACCATAAAACTTTGGGGAAATAAACTCATCTTATGCTTGGATCCTTATCATTTAAATTGAGGGTATTCTTAGCAAACCAAGTTTCACAGGATGTTATGCATTCTTTTCTTATGCCTGATTGCCCTGGGAAACCGCCCATTCCAGCATAGGGCCATACCTGCCTCCTGCATTGTTTTAGGCTTAAGTCAGGTGGAGGATGCCGGCAGCCTAGAGATTAGGAGATTTTTTACAGATTGAATGAGGACTCAGGCTATGTCAAAGCTGAGGGGTGAGGATCCATCAGCCCCTTTTTGTGTAGTCTCCCAAGTCCTTCTCAACTGTGTCTGTCTTAGGTCATCCCTTCTTTGAGGAATCTTACCTGTCATTGGCTAACAAGTCATCTGCCTGGGGCCAAGCAGAGGGAATTAAAGGGGGCAGAAGCTGCACCCCTGCCAAGAGGATAAGCTTTGTCTCCTTAGTGATTTATGGTCCCAAGGTCTTTTTACTCAGCCTGGCTATGGGTGGTTATAGCTTCTGAAACCAGGCAGGGCAGTTCCCAACAGTATGCTATCTTAGGGTTCAGTAGATGTTTATTGAGTACTATCTATATGTTAGGTATTATAGTGATGACAATTTAAATTAGTCCATCAGTAAGCATTTACATACCAACCATTTGCATAGCCAGCGACCCCCTCACCTTGGGGGGTTTAGTTGCATAAGTTTGCTATAAGTAAGCAGTATGATGTGCTGCCCATAAAAAGTCCATGTGGACGGTGTCAGTGTGGTTGGTGTCAATTGGACAGGATGACTGGTATTGGCCCTGTGCTTGGATCAGTCCAGCTGGGGTGTGGTTAGGTAGGAGAATTTTGCCTGTTCCACTGTCAACAAGATGAACATTGGTTTTTCTAGTGTGACGGTGTTCTAGATCTGTTCTTCACATTGTTTATAGAAGAAAGCTTGAGTACTGATTTGAACAGTTCTTTGTAGTTATTGTGCAAATTATTTATCAATGAATGTTTAAAACCTTTAGTTCGACACTTTGTCCACACCTATTTTTAAAATTTATTGAAGTTGACTTGGGTTTATTTGTATATGTCTGCCTCATCAAATGTTCTTAAGTTCTTTGATGACTTGGAGAGTCTTAGTCAACTTTATGTCCAGTATAGTGACTAACACAGTGTAACACAGAGGAGGCATTTAGTTAATGTTACTGGATTAAGCGATTTTTCAGTTTCTTTTTACCCCTTGAGAGAAATAAAGGCCTAGGATACAAAGAGATTTCTGGCCCCAGCACTTCCCTCAGTGTTGCCCGAGCAGTGCAGCCAAATGTTTTCCAAGGGCGTCAGCCTTAGAATTCTCTGAGGACACAGAATACTGCACATGCTGATTTGCAGCTTTAGTAAGCCTTGGATTATATACAGTAATAACATTGTGCAGTAAAGGAGAAATCATTGGTTTTGACTTTGGGTTAAATCATTGTTGTTTTACAGTTTAGCTATTATGAATTCCAGCAGTAGTATGAAAGTCGGCTTATCACAGAAAGCTTTGAAATCCTGAGTTAAGTGCTGTTAGCTGATCCCCCTTTTTTTCTTCCAGAAACTTTGATTTTGAGGATGTTTTTGTGAAGATTCCCCAAACAATTGCTCAGGTGTCTAAGAATGCTGGGGTTGAAAGATTTATTCACATTTCACATCTGAACGCTGATATTAAAAGTTCTTCTAGGTATCTGAGAAATAAGGTAAGTAACAGGTTGATCTGGAAAGTGATGGACAGAGATGGGAGTTTTCTCGCCCCTTTGAAGCATGATTTAGGAGAGAAGGGTTTTTCATTGACATATCCAGACTAAAAGGGATTTTTAGATTTAGATTTCAGAATTAGATTTGTGTGTGTGAGAGAGAAGTGTGTGCACATGCACATGTGTGTGTGCATTGTGTTCTGACATTTTCGTTGAATGCCTTCTCTTTGCAGGGAACTGTGCTAAAGGGCTTCAAAGATGGAAAGAGCATATCGTTACTTGCGCTGAAATGCATTTTCTTGTGGCATAATAGAATTGCATAATAAATACATAATAAATGGTAGAGTATGATTCCTGCCCCTAAGAGTCATACCTGTGTCATCTACCAGTGTTGATCTTTTTTATCCAAAACCCCTTTTATAGTTATGGATTCATGCCACTTCTGAAGAGTTCTTTGATAGTGGCTTCAGCTTTTTGACCCACTGCATTTTTTTATTGAACAAATTGTTTATGAAGTACGTACTGTGTGCTACATTGCATTAGGCACTAGGGATATAGGAGTGAATAAAACAGACATGGTCTAAGCCCATATCTAGTTGGGAGTCCATTAAGGTAAATAATTCCTGAGGTACCAGGTATTACAAAACAGCAAACTGCTATAGAAGCCTATAATGGGGGAGAGAGGGCATTTATTAGTTAGGAGCATTTAATTACTAGCTTCAGAAAATCCAGAGTAAACTGGCTTAAACAAAAGGGAATTTATAGGGCTATGTATCTGAGAAATTGAGCAGTAGGAAACTGTAGCCACATTGGTGCCAAGGTTCATCAGGGCTTCAGTTTTGTTTCTCTGCAATTTTGCAAGGGTGTAAGCTTTGTTTTCACACTCACAGAATTGCTTGATAGCTCATGTAGTCCTCACTCACATTTTCATACTACACTGGAGAGAGAGAGTATACACTGTGCCTGTCTCTGCCCTGCCATTCACACAATCATCTGAATTCATGATTGTTTGGAAGGAATGGGCCACGGGGGAGTCAGTGGTGAGAAAGAGGGAAGAGTCAAAGATGCCCAGCCCTTTTGCTAAACCACTGGGTGGTTGGTAATCCTGTTGAATATGAGAAACACTTGAAAATGATGAGACTTTAGGGTAGTGGTTCTTGGGGGAAGCTGCACATTAGGATCACTGGGGGAGCTTGGAAAAATTCTGATGCCCAAGCTGCGATGAGACCAATTCAACTAGAATCTCTGGGAATAGAACTTTGGCATCAGTATTTTTTAGCTCTTCCTAGGTAATTTCATTGTGCAGCAAAGATTGAGAAATACAATTTATGGAGAGGGGAAGAGGATGATTCAGTTTTGAACTTGGGTTGCATTGCAGATGTGTGTCAGTCATCCAGTTAATGGGGGCGAATGGGCTTTATGATCCTGCAGCTTAGGAGAGAGGTCTGGGTTGGGAGTATAAATTAGGGAGCCACCAGTCTTTATTGTTAATTGAAGCAATGGGAGGGGATAAGATGGCCTAGTGTGGAAGCATGGATTGAGAAGAGAGCTTTGGACCGGGCCTAGAGGAATGCCAGTGATTAGTGGTTTGGTAGATAAAGGACTGTCGAACCAAATGAAAAGACTGAGAGTTGAGGGTGAACATGATCAGGTAGGAGGGAAACCCAGAGAGTACAAGGTTATGAAAGCCAAGGGAAGACAGTGTTGCAAGGAGGGAGTAGTTACTTATGAATGCCATTTAGAAGCCATGTGAGAACGCTGAAGTTACCTTGGATCTACTGACTTAGAGGTCATCAGTGATCTGAACCTAGAATCATTTGAGTGCAAGTGGCAGGGCAGAATGTACACTTCAGGTGAGTGAGAAGTGAGCAGGAACTGAGGCAGCATTTTCAAGTCGTTTGGTAAGAGGATGGAGTTGGGGGTGGATGCAGGAAGCTGGAGAGGCAGGCGGACTTGGAGAATTATTTTTCTTTCAAGGTAGAAGGTCTTTGTTTAAAAGCCATTGTTTCAGCGCTGTTGTGAAAGTGCTGATAGAGTGATACTAAAGATACAGGTGAGAGTAAATGGGACAGATTCCTGAGAAAGTTAAAGGAGGTGAGTTTTGAAGCACTGGAGGTGGCACTTGTCCTCTGAAGTGGTAAGAAAGGAGGAGGAAATGTTAGTTCATGCACCTGAATTTGTAGATTTAGTGGTAAGAACTTAAGATGATTTTTTTCTGCTGCTGTATCTCTTTGCATTAGCAGGTGATGTCAATCACTGGAGGAGGAAAATAAGATAGAAATTAGAATAAAATAGAATAGAACAGAAAAGAAAAGCAGTGAAATTGTCATGTGTGAGTGTAAAGTAATTACAAGAAAACACTATTGTGGGAAATGTTAAGGGCCCAGTTAAAATGGTGACAGAAATTTATAATCATGTGCCACATAGGGGTTAGGTTCTAAGAAATGTATCATGGTGCCATTTTGTCATACAGACATCGTAGAGGCACTTACACAGATGTAGATGTTACAGCCCACTGCACACCTAGGCTGTATGGTACAGCCTATTGCTCCCAGGCTACAAGCCTCTACAGCATGTTACTGTACAAAATAACACAAGATTAAATCAAGAACAAGCAAAACTCTAAGTAGAAAGAGTAGACACTAAAATAACAATAAAATGTATAGTATAGTAAATATATAAACAAGTAACATAGTTGTTTATTGTCATTATGGACTGTACATGATATACTAATCTTTTATATAATTGGCAGTGCAGTAGGTTTGTGTACACCAGCATTACAAACACATGAGTAATGTTTTGCACTATGATGTTTAGATGCCTAGGCTTTGGAATTTTTCAACTTCCATCATAATCTTATGGGTCTACTGTAGTGTAGATGGTCTGTTGTTGACCAAAATGTTATGTGTGCATCATCGTGTAGTGGTACCAATTTGTGATATTCATTTACTAAATTTCCTCCAGCTCTGAAGGCAGCAAGAGTACATGGCTCAAAGGAGGGTAATAAGGTTCTTACAGGATTGTGATTTTGCTGGGTGAGTGGAATAAAAGACAAAAGGACAAGGTACTTTACATTATTGGTAAGAGAGTGATTAAGAAGTTGGACCATCGAATCTAATTTGTAACAAGGCAAGTTTGGAGGGGTTGATTGACAGGAAAGCAGAACCAGTGACTAGGGTTCCTGCAAAGGTTGAGAAACAGATGATCTCAGGAGCAGATAAGCAGAGAACAAGAAGGCCGGGAGTATAGGAGATTGTTATCTGAGAGGAGGGTGTCTTCTGTCTGTGTTTCAGAAGAAGGGCACTTTCACTTGTTGATGTAATCTGTGTCCTGACCAAGGCAGGGTGCCCACGTGAACTGAAGAGGTGGTCACTGAAGTTGAGAAGAAGCTCAAGAAACTGAGAGATCCAAGTCTACATGGATATTGAGGTCACCCACAATGGTAGTGTAGATAAAAGGAATTTGGGGTGGAAAGGAAGGTTGATGTCTGCATTGAACAAGAGGCCTTGTCTAGGAGATGAGCAGATGGTAACAATCCAGGGCAGGACGATTAAGGACCTACCCTGGCCTCCCCTGGGCATGTGTGCACTGCTGCAGATTCCATCATGGTTACCCACTCCACGCCCTCCTTTCTCTGGCAGTCTGCTAGGTTGTCTACACCAATCAAAGAACCTGTAATTAGAAGGAAAAATGGAGGCTAGAAAAATCTGCTCTGATTTTTCTCCTTCTGTGTAATTGAGATTTATGAATAGTACAGTTACCTTAATCTGGAGGAACATATGACATTTAAAATACAAGTAGTATCCCAATAGTGAAAAGAATGGAAGATTTTTTGCTCGTTTCAGAACTTTCTTTTGTTTGCTTGTTCATTTAGGCTGTTGGAGAGAAAGAAGTGAGAGATGCATTTCCAGAAGCCATCGTCATAAAGCCATCAGACATCTTTGGACGAGAAGATAGATTCCTCAATTATTTTGCAAGTTTGTATTCTTTCTTAACTAGGTTGAAGTTAAGCACGAACTAATGGTGTTCTCTGACTTGACAGACTGAAGTTATACTTTTTCTCTCCCAGTTGCTATTTTCTCCCCTAAGGTCATGCTTGCCTAGTTAACATGGTCCTTCTCAGGATCTTCATTACTGTATATCAGAAGAAACACCTTAGATTCATGGAAAGAGCATGTACTTAGAAATCAGAGACCTGAGTTTAAATGTTGGCTGTGGGACTAACTAGTTCTAATTTTGGCAAGTCTCTGAGTGGCAGCTTTCTCATCTTAAAATGGAGATAACAATATCTACCTCAAGAGGCTGTGTTAATTAGATGAAGTAGCCCATGTTACATCATTTGGCACGAAGTTAACGCTTAAATGCTGCTTTCATTTATACTTTTCATATGAAGCCCATTCCTTACTGCATTCTCCTCTTTAGTGTGGTTGCCAAGTCTCTTGGGTATTAATTTTCTAAAACAAAGAGGTAGTGTAGTGATACTACTCTTTGTCAGCCACATTTAATAGTTCTTCCTTGTTAGTAGGAATTTTTATGGAACAGGATTAGAGATCAATAAATATTAATTTGGCCATTAATAAACTAGAAATACTTGATATGTAAACTGCTAGATGTTTTATGTTTGCTCTGAGTGTTTTTATTGATTTGTTTGTTTGCTGATTAGACTTGTCTTGGCAGAGAAAATCAGTGTTCTTGACTAAGTGATGAGATTTTGAGACATTATGGGTGAAAAAATTATTTCCCTGTACTTTAGTGGGAGTGGGAGAGGAGAACACATTTTTAAAGTCTTTGATAAGAACCTACCTATAGTTTCTGATTTACTGAATTACCAGTTATCTCTCAATTTATTCACTTATGTATTGGGAAAGGATTCAGACCTTACTCATAGGTAGTATTAGGAAGGTTAGTGAGTTACTTTTTTTTATCAGAAGCTTCCTGTTTCTCCTTTTGAGTGTTTGTATTATTTTTGTGTATGTCTTTTGCCCATGGTGTTTTTTTTTTTTGAGCTATGTTTTTTTACTGATTTATTTAGGCTGTTTAGTTATTAAGGATATATGTATTTTCTTGTATTTGCTGCAAATTTTTGTTGGCTTATTATTAATACTTAAATTTTTTTTATTTCAGACTTTATATTTTATAGCAGTTATAGATTTATAGGAAAATTGAATGGAAAAGTTAAAAAAATGTTATTATTGTTGTACAAGTACAGTTGTCTCCATTTGACCCCACCACAGCCCCTCTGCCCCACCCATTCCTGCCTCCTACCCATGAACCTAACCCCATTGACTTTGTCTGTGTGTTCTTTATACACGCTCCTTGATGGATCTTCCTCTGTTTTCCCCCATTAACCCTCTCCCCCTTCCCTTCTGGTCACTGTCAAATTGTTCCTTATTTTCATGTCTCTGGTTGTATTTTGCTCACTTGTTTATTTTGTTAATCAGGTTCCACTCTCAGGTGAGATCATATGGTATTTGTCTTTCACTGCCTGGCTTATTTCACTTAGGATAATACTCTCCAGTTCCATCCATGCTGTTGTGAAGGGTAGAAGCTCCTTCTTTCTTTCTGCTGCATAGAATTCCATTGTGTAAATGCACCACAGTTTTTTTATCTATTCATTTACTGCTGGGCACTTAGGCTGTTTCCAGCCTTGGGTATTGTAGATAACACTGTTATGAACATTGGGGTGCATAGGTTCTTCTGAATTGTTGTTTCAGGATTCTTAGGGTACATACCACATTTTGTTTATCCATTAATCTGTCAATGGAAGCTTGGGTTGCTTCTACCTTTTCACTACTGTAAATACTGCTGTTATGAACATGGATGTACAGATATCTCTTTGAGACCCTGCTTTCACTTCTTTGGCATGTATATCCACAAATGGAATTGCTAGATCGTGTGGTATTCTATTTTTACTATTTGGGGAACTACCATACTATTTTAAACCATAGTGGCTATAGCAGTTTACATTTCCACTAAGTATGCAGGGTTCCAACTTTTCTATGTTCTCATAAACACTTATTAGCTTATATATTTTTTAATAGTATAACAAGATATTTCATGGTTTTGATTTGCATTTCCCTGTTGGTAAGTGATGTTGAGCATCTTTTCCTGTGCTCTTTGGCCACTTATGTATCTTATTGGCAGAAATGCCTTTTTACGTGCTTTACTCATTTTTAATTTGGTCTTTTTTTGTTATTGTTGAATTTTAAGAGCTCTTTGTATATTATGATCAGTAACCCCTTATTAATATAGAATTTGCAGATATTTTCTTTTGTTCCTTAGGTTGCCTTTTCACTGTTAATTATATCCTTTAATGCACAGAAGCTTTTGGTTTTCGTACAGTTTGACTTATCTGTTTTTACTTTTGTTGCCAGTGGTTTTGTTGTCATATCCCAGAAATCATTGCTAAGTCCCATGTCATGACATGGCTAGGGAAAACATGGCTTTCCCTGTGTTTTCATTTGAGAATTTTTTAGTTTTTGCTCTGTGATTAAGTCTTTGATCTGTTTTGAGTTAATTTTTTGTATGTGAATCAAGGTAAGGGTCCAACTTCATTCTTTTATATGTGGATATCCAGTTTTCCCAGCACCATTTGTTGAAGAGACTGTCATTTTCCTGTTGAATGGTCTTGGCACCTTGTCAAAAATTATTTGACAAGGGCTATTTCTCTCTATTCTGTCGGTTTATATGTGTGTCTTTATGCCACAGTTTTCATCACTGTGAACTGTTTTGATTACTATAGTTTTGTAATAAGTTTTAAGTCAAGACATTTGAGACCCCCAACTTTGTTTTTTCTTTTTCAAGATAGTTTTGGCTGTTCACGATTCTTTTCAGATTCCATATGAATTTTCCCTAGCTGGGGTAGGTCAGTGGGTTGAGTGCTGGCCTTGGGAACCAAGGGGTCACTGGTTCAATTTTCAGTCAGGGCACATGCCTGGGTTGCAGGCCAGGACCCTACCTAGTAAGGGGCATGCGAGGGGCAACTACACATCGATGTTTCTCTTCCTGTCTTTCTCTTTCCCTTCTCCTCTCTAAAAAATAAGTAAATAAAAGTTTTTAAAAAGAAGATTCCTTACAAATTTAAGATGGAATTTTCTATATTTCTGCAAAAACACCATTGAGATTTTGATAGGGATTGCATTAAATCTGTAGATTGCTTTGGCTACTGTTGATATTTTAACAGTATTGACTTCCAGTCCATGAACACAGAATATCTATCCTTCATTTGTGTCTTTAAATTTCTTTTGGCAATGTTTTGTAGTTTTCGGTGTACAGGTTTTTAGCCAACATGGTTAAGTTTGTTCCTAAATATTTTATTCTTTTCTATGCTCTTATTAATAACTTCTTTTAAAATTTTTTTGAGAAGCTTTTTTTACCTTTCCATTTAATCTACTTGGGATTCGATTTGTTTTGTTTTATGGTGAGGTGTGAGCTTATTTCTTTTTCCAAATAGTAGAATGATTGTCTCAGCACCATACCTTAAGTATTATTTTCATTTTCTAAATATTTGTGGTACTACATTTATCTCATACTAAACTCCCATTTTTAGTGGTATCTTTTTCTGGGTTGAGTATGTCATATCAGTGACCTGTTGATTGCTGTTGTTCGTAAAATGAGGTATAATTTCTTTTTGAGTCCAATCTTGGGGGTGCCCATACCTTTAGCATTAGAGACCCAAGCCATTCGACCTTTCTCTTCCTGTCAGTGTCCTTAAATACAGGGTGGGGCAAAGTTGGTTTACAGTTGTTCATATTGGGAATAATGTAATAATTAATAAATAATAATACAAGAATAAACTCTTTTGCATACTCAAAACTGTAAACCTGCTTTTGCCCCACTCTATATGTAGCCTTTTTACTTTTATTATTTGTTTAAAAGAAAAAGCTGCTCAATTTTCTCAGAGTCAGGTATATTTATTTCGTTATTTCTGTTATACAAAGTGATTGTGCTAACCTGGAGGACCTGGAAGTTGGTGGATCTTACAGCAGTTCAGCTGTCTAAAAATAGTTCTCTTTTTTCTGCCAGATATGCGCTGGTTTGGAGGTGTACCTCTTATATCCTTGGGCAAGAAGACAGTGAAACAACCAGTATATGTAAGTGCTGTGGGTGAAGGGGCTTTGAATTCAGATTCAGGTGATCTGTTTTGTTTGTTTTGCCCCAATCCTGTAACTCTGTCATACTCCTCTTTTTCAATTTGCTTCATCTGGTTACCTCTCAGGTTACTAAGAGGTACATGCATTCTCTGTGTTTTCACTTGTTCATTCATTTAAGAAAAATGTATTGAATGCTCAGTATGCCTAACACACTGTTTGAGGCACAGGATATTTAGGGATATTAACTGTATAGACACAAATTGCTCTCCTCAAGTTGGTCTCAGCCAGAGGCATGTCAGCAGAGCAGTTATCATACAGTGAGTTACATGCCGTGATGGGGAGAGGGGCTTACAGAGTTATGTCAGAGGGGTACCTAACCCACCTAATCCAGACTGAGGGTCAGGGAAGGTCTCCCAGAGGAAATGGCATCTCAAGTGAGACTTTTTTTAAAAAAGATTTTATTTATTTATTTTTAGAGAGAGAAAAGGGAGGGAGAAAGAGGGAGAGAAACACTTATGTATAAGAGATATATCATTTGCCTCTTGCATGCCCCCAACTGGAGACCTGGCCCACAACCCAGGCATGCGCCCTGACTGGGAGTCAAACCAGCAACCTTTTGGTTTACAGGCTGACACTCAATGTACTGAGCCACACCAGCCAGGGCCTAAGATGAGACTTTAAAAATGACTTAACAGTAAGTCAAATGAAGAGCTTGGGGGAGAGTATCCTGTACAGGAGGAGCAGTATGTACAGGGACCCAGAGGTGAGAGGGAGTGTTGGATTCCCTATTATGTTCAACATGGGATTGACAGATTGGTGCTAATGACATTTTGGGCTACATAATCCTTTGTTGTAGGGCAGGGTGTCACACTCATTTTCACCAGGGGCCACATCAGCCTCACAGTTGCCTTCAAAGGGCTGAATGTAATTTCAGCTCCTGAACAGTTAAGGAGTAGTTACATTTATATAGTCCTAAAATTATTTTGGCCCTTTGAAAGCAACCACGAGGCTGAAGTGGCCCTCAGTGAAACTGAATTTGATACCCCTTTTGTAGGGGCTATTGTAGAATTTTTAGCAGTATTTCTGCCTTCTAGCCACCAGATGGCAGTATCATTCTCCCCACCTCCCAGTTGTGGCAACAAAAAATGTCTCTAGGCATTTGCCAAATATACCCTGGGCACCAAAATCCAACCCCCCCTTTGAAAACCATGGGCTGCAACCATATAGAATTATTATTTTTGAATGCCAAAATGGTAGAATATAAACAAGTCCATGTGTTCAGCCTAATAGTTTGAGGTTGTTTAGTAACAGAGGAAATTAGAGCAATAATGGGCAAAGGCAAATCAGAAAGGCCTTGATAGCCATATGAAGATAAACGTGTTCTGACTAGAAAAATATTTAAAAATTTCCAATATGGAGTTTATTAGAGTTCTTAAGAAGGGTGTTCTTTAAGAAGTTTTCTGAAAATACATGCTTTTGTTTTATCATGGTTTTGTGTGTGTGAATGTGTATGACTGACTTGGTCTGCTTCTCTTCCTCCCTCCCTCCCTCTCTTTCTTTCAGCAATTACTTAAACACATGTTATAATTTCTTATAGGTGGTAGATGTAGCCAAAGGAATTGTTAATGCAATTAAGGAGCCAGATGCCAGAGGGAAAACTTTTGCCTTTGTTGGGTAGGTGGTTAAAGTTTGGCTTAAAAATTGTGTTACATCTTAAAATGAAATAATGATAACTTACAACAGTAATTTCTAAACATGTCACGCATAACAGACTTATTCATTGCATTTTTATAGTGTCTTTCTTCCACTGTATTTATTGCAGAAACCTTAAACTCCTTTTACCCTTAGGCCACTGTGTTTCAAAGAGCTGTTCAAAGGCCACCATTATCAGAGTCTCCTGAACACTTCTATTAAATCAGAATTTGAAGGAACTCAGGAATCTGCCTTAAGAAATGGTTTTTCTGTCACCAAATATGATTATGTGTATGCTTAGCCAATTATATGTATTTAGTCCAGTAACCCTCCCCACCCCACAACAGATGGTTTGGTACTACTCCAGTGAAGTTTTTACCATGTAAAAGGATGTAACTATAAATTCCAAAACACAAAACACTTTTAGGGAGTAAGTACAGTTGCAAAATGAAATTAATTTTGCTAGAGTATATGAAAGCCCCAAAAGGTAGGAAATGGTTGGATTAGGGTACAATTGTTAATGCTGTGCAAGACTAATCTTTTATTATATGCTCTCTGTTGAAATTTGCTCTCTAGGAAAATGGGACACAGTTAAACTATGTGACTTACCTGAAAATGTTAAATTATGTCATAGCTAAGTTTAGGACCTTTTTTACTGAATTAAATAATAACTAAGACTAAAAATCTGAGACTCAACCTATCAAATTCAAAACTACCAACTCTACCTAATAATTGGTTCAGAACCCCATCGTTCTGTGAAGGAAACTTGTGATACCTGATGTTTTGTGAAATGTGGGGATATGATTGAATAATTAAGAGAGAGCTTAATTCCTAAGAAATACTTGCTTCTGCAAAATGAGAACTTTTTCTCCAAACCATATATATATAGTATTTATTCCCAGGATAATGAATTCATACATTATTATGTTTCACTGTTATTGTAAATTTATTTTAAAAATTTTGTGCGTATAAAGAAGACATGTTTCTACATCAACTAACTACTGTAAGATGTACCGTCTTTTTGGATTATAAGATGCCTCCTGCCCCCCCCCCCCATTTGGGAGGAATAATGGTTGTTAATGCTGCTATTGAGTTTTGTTTACTTTTACATTGGTGAAATATTATTTATATTATTAAATATTTTACCACATTTTTTTCTTCAAAAAATTTTTTTCCTATTTTTCTCTAAAACCTAGGTGTGTCTTATGGTCTGAATATGTCTCTGAGTTCCCAACTTGGCACATTAGCATGCAATCAGTTATACCCTGGGAGAATCATTCACCCAAAAAAATGTGTTTAGTACAGGTTCTGAAAAACACAAGACTCAGACAACTTCAGGCTTTAGTCAAGAGGTACTTAGACCAGGATTCCAAGGAATAGATTAACAGAAATGGCTTTATGAATTTTGCTTGCTTACTATTCAATAAGTTTGGCTCTGGGATGAGTTAGCCATTTCCTTTTCCAGTCACTTCAGTCTCTTCATGAGGCTCCAGTGAGTCATACTTATTTGGTACAGTGATGGGTCAAGTAATGCTAGACATAGCAGTGTAGGCATTTTTCCTTGTGAAATTGTAAAAATGCATCTGTACTTCTCTTTTTACCTTTTCAGCTCCAGGGGAAAACTTTGCCTGTTTTCTTAACACTTTGATGCTAAGGCAGAGGCATAAGACCTTAATTTTGCTTCTAGTTTTTTCAGTTACTAATTACATGATTTGGTCCATTCTGTTTGTCATTCATTTCTTAAATACCTATTGATTCACATACACAAAACCGAGAACTAATGAACAAGTTCATCAAGATATAAGGCATAAGATCAATATGTAAAAATCAGTTTCTGTACGTTAGTAAGTGAACAACCTAAAATAAAATTAAGAAAATAACTTTATTTACAGTAGCTCAAAAGGGATAAAATACTTAGGTAGAAATTTAACAAGAGATGTAAAGATGTACACTGAAAATTACAAGACATCGCTAAGAGAAGTTAAGGAAGGCCTAAATAAATGGAAAGACATCTTATATTCATGGATTGGAAGAGTCATTATTGTTAAAATATCAGTTTTCCTCAAATTGATCTATATTTTCAACTTAATTCTTTCAAAATTCCAGCATGCTTTTTTTTTTACAGAAATTGACAAATTGATTTTAGATCTCTGTGGAAATGCAAAAGAAGAAACCATTTCTACAAGGAAGAATACATTGTAGCGTTTAAACTTCCCAATTGCAAAACTTACTATAAAGCTGCAATTATCAAGTGTGGTACTGGCAAAAAAAAATAGATACATAGGTCTATGAAAAGACTTGATAGTCCAGAAATAAAACTTTATGGAAAGTTGATTTGCCAAAATGCTGTAACACTTCAAAGAGGAAAAGAAAGTCTTTTCAACAAATGGTATTGGGATATCCACATGTAAAAAGATGAACATCGACCATTACTTCACATCATACATGAAGAAATTAGGAAACTTCTAGTCAAGAGGTAGGTGTAGGTAGATATGCTTCACCTCTTTGCACAGCCATAAGAAGGATAACAACCAACCATGAAACAAAAAACACCCAGAACTGCCAGAAAATCAAACTGTATGGAAGTCTCATAACCAATGATTTAAAGAAGCCATATTTATCCAGATGGGTTCTGGGAAAGAAGACATGGTATGGTGGTGGTGGCCAGAAGAATGGGTTGTCCCACATTCACGTGTGGATGAAATGGAGAGGGATACCTTGAGAGTGAGTGGTCCCAGCCCCGGGGCAGAACATGCAGCCCAGTGTTTCAATACCAGGAAAGTAAATCTTCATAACTTCTGGCTGTAAAAGCCAGTAGGGATTGGGGTGGCAGAAGAAACTGCCGGTCTTTCAGGGGACTGTCTCTGAGATAGGACTGAGTTCCCATAAGACTATCAGGTGATTTCTCAAAAGAACCCTTACAAGCAAGAAGGGACTGGCAAGTAGGGATAAAAAGCAAGGACTTAGATTACTGTATCCAGCAAAGCTATCATTTAGAATGGAAGGGCTGATAAAGTGCTTCCCAGACAAGGTAAAGCTAAAGGAGTTCATCATCACCAAACCCTTATTATATGAAATGTTAAAGGGACTTAGCTAAGAAAAAGATGATAAAAATGTGAACAGTAAAGTGACAACAAACTCACAACTATCAACAGCTGAACCTAAAAAAAACAAAAACCCAAACAACTAGAAGAGGAGATCATATGAAGGGTTAGATGCGTGAAGGGATAAGGGGGAGTATAGGGGGGACAGTATAGGGATTAAGATGCATAATTGGTAGGTACAAAATAGGGAGATGTTAAGAAAAGTATAGGAAACGGAGAAGCCACAGAACTTACGTGCACGACCCATGGACATGAACTGAGGGGCAGATTGGAGGGAAGTGGTGTACTGGGTGAAGGGGGAATAATCGGAACAACTGTAATAGGATACTCAATAAAATATACTCAAAATATATCAGAGACCTCAGTGTAAGTGCTAAAACTTTGGGGAAGAAAAGTAAAATTTTTAACCCTTGAGTTAGGTTGATTTTTTTTTAGATATTACAAAAGCATACTCCATAAAAGAAAAAATGTATACATTCAGTTAATCAAAATTAAAAACTTTTGTACTTTAAAGATTTCATTAAAAAATGATAAAAAGATGAGTGAGGAGATCATCAACAAAAAGGCAGGAGAGGTGGATCAGAGTGGTATATGGAAAGTCTGAGGATAGAGAAGATAGGAAGTACTCCCTGGGAGTACAGAGAAGGGCACTTGTAGGAGGGAATAGTAGTATTGCAAAGTGATGCTCGGTCTTCCATTTGAAGGTAGTGATCAGAAATCCAAGGGGAAGCCAGTTAGTCCATTTCTTTCTCTACAACTCTGTCTTGGTGGCAGTTTAGGCACAGCAGACAGAGCAGGCAGTTGGCTGGGTTAACCAGAGTAGGGCTTTTGCTCTGCTGGTATAGTGGAGAGGAGGCTGGGGGGCAATGTCTTGCTGAGAATAATTGCAAAGGAATTACCATGAAATCTTAGCTGGGAAGGACACAGACTTCAGTGTACCATGGTCTGTGAGCAGGGAGTGGCACTTAAACCAGGCTTTGAGACACTTTTAATGGAACACAAGGTACTGGAGAACAGCTGAAGAGCAAAATAATTACATATAATTAGTTTGCCCATGATTCTAGTATGGCTTGTCTTCAGAAGGATTACAAATTGTTCTTTGATATAGCATATATTATATGCCCTGCAGTGCTCTTTATACATCCTTCTGGAACTTGAAGGAAGCTATTTGATTGTCCCCTGACTTTTTTCCCTTCATTTTATTTTTGGATGAAAATGTCAGAATGATGAGGTTCTCATTACATTACTTTTATTTAGCTCTCAGCCGTCACAAGCTTTCAGAGGCAAAAGGGATTAGGAAAGTGTGAAGAGATATTAAAAGGTAGTATTATACATAATAATAGTAATTAAAGCTAGGTTATACTGGTACAAAACTACTCGGATTCGAGAAATAGCATATAAAGTCTAGAAACAGTCATAAATATACATAAGAATAGTGTGTGATAAAGATGCCATTTCAAAATGTGGGAAGAAGGTAGATTATTTAGTAAATGGTATTACATATTTTCCTTATAACAATACAAAACTACATCGCTGAAAGAACTTTTGAATTAAGAAAAACAACTGAAAAAAAATATGTGGAAACTTATGTTACTGCTGACTGGAGAGGGATTTTCCAACTATTAAGCCAGACCATAAAGTAAAAGAAATCAGTAGTTTTGATTATGTGGAATTTTATACTGTTACATGCCACAAAACACCTAAACATTGAAAGGTAAAATATAAACAGCAAAAGATATTTACAACTATGTTATTAAAATATAAAGAACTCTACAAATTATTCTTATAGATAGGAACTCCAGGAGGAAAAGAAAAGAAGTGTAAATGGCCAAAAATATATTAAAAAAATTAATCTTTAGTATTAAAATAATGTTAATTAAACCATTGAGGTACCTTTTTTACCTGGCAGATTGACAAAATTTTGTTTACTTTTTATGCCTAAATTAATTTTTGGTGAGTGGGCTATTAGCATTCTATGTAAATTTGTATGATCTTGTCAGAAGGTACTTTGGAAGTAGTCAGTAAAAGCGTTGAAATCTCACAGTATACTTTGAGAAGTTTCACTTGTAGAATGTATCCTAAACACATAGCTGTGGATAAGCACAAATATTTGCTATAAGAATGCTTATTAAGATGTTATTTTACAAAGGAAAAATGTTTTTAGTAGCCTAAATATCCCCAAACTGGGAATTGGTAAAATAGGTTATGATTACGTGCAGTGCAGGATATGCAGGCATTGACCATGGACTGGAGGACTTAATGACATTGAAAGATGCTTGTGGTTTACTAGTAAGTGAAAAAGACATTACAGAGCAGGATGAACTGTATAGTCTTACACTTATCAAAACAAGAATGTATATGTAAAGGGGTGAGAGGGATATATATTAAATGTTTAGTTGGCCAAAAAGGCCATATGTTTTTTTTTCTGTAAAAGACATTTCCATTTTCACTAATAACTTTCTTTTTTTTTTTTAAGATTTTATTTCTTTATCTTTAGAGGGGAAGGGAAGGAGAGAAATATCAATATGCAGTTGCCTCTCGTGAGTCCCCTGCTGGGAACTGGCCTGCAACCCAGGCATGTGCCCTGGCTGGGAATCAAACCGCGATCCTCTGGTTCGCAGGCCCATGCTCAGTCCCCTGAGCTACACCAGCCAGGCTCATTCTCACTAATAACTTTCTTGATTTGGATATTTGGAATATGTTGGCTATCCTCTGTGTGGTATAACATCGATTGTTCTCAGTGTCTCACTTTGATTGGTATCAACTTCATCTGGTTTACCCAACCACAGAGCATCGTGCAGCAAGAAATCTCTGGCACAAAACTTAGAAACCACTTTTGACATGTTCCATCAGTCATAGCACTTTCTTCATACACTGCACAAATCTTTTTTTGCACTTTAGTTGCATTTTTACCTTTCTTGAAATATAAAGAATAATATGCCAAAATGTTGCATATTTTCTTCCATCTTCAATAATGAAATGACTACAGAAAAATTCACTGATTTTGATAAGCTTTTTTAAATGCACACTGATAAGACAGCTGTCACAATACAGTCTAACAGAGTTGTTCCAAACAAAGTTAAAGACAACCGAGTGCTACTAGAGCCATCTTATGGAAACAACAAACATTTTGCCCAACCCAATACATTAACTTTATCTCTGGTGAGACTATGATAAATTTTCTGTGCTAACTTGTATTTACTACAGTATATTTGTATTCCTTTCTCATTAGGAAAATGTTGTTTTTGTTAAAAAAGTGAGTTTATAGGTGCCAATAATTTGAGTAACTATGAATTCTTTCTTCGTAGGCCCAATCGATACCTTCTTTTTGACCTGGTGCAGTATGTCTTTGGTGTGGCGCACAGACCCTTCCTCCCATACCCTTTGCCCCATTTTGCCTATCAGTAAGTAAAGTGCTTATTTTTGTGCCTTCTAAAATAGAGCTAACTAGATACATTTGTTTGTAATGCTCTCACTAAGGGTTATAAAGGAATGTGTTCCATACAGGGAAGTGTTAGAATCTCTGACTAGAATGTTCTCTTAATACCTTGAAAAGTCTAGAAAAGGAACAGAGATGTCTAAGAAAGGGAAATGCAGGTTACTTTGGATGATAAAAACAGTGTTGAGAGGTTAAATCTGCAGTTCTTCACATTCTCCAATTAAAAATTACTGAGTTTTAATTTGGAAAAGTATCTTACTTGGAAGGTTGGATAAAGGAGAAATGAGGTTTCTCTGTGTTTCACATCGCTTACTCAGAAGTGACAAAAGGATTCCTCTTTCTTCAACCATTTAGATCATGCAGTTGGGAGAAGGAGCCAGGTTGATTCAGTCTTGGCCTATGATTCCCTTATCTTCTTTCCCTGCTTTCTTGGTAGTTGAGCACTACCTTTGTAAGTTGAGCATCTCAGAATTATGTCACACTGTCATGTCCTCATCTGGGATACTTTCACATCCAGTTTGCCAGAGACTGATTTATAAACCAATATAGCGGTTCACTCCTTCATCCATTAATTCGACAAATTTCATTGAATGCCTACTATGTTACAGGCAATGCACTAGGGACTTGAGATGTTACAGTTAGCTCTAACAGAGGTATCAGAAGAATAGTCAGAACACAGTGCGATGATAATCTTTATTGAGAATATTCTATTTTTAGGCTGTCTCTACTTCTCATTTAATACTCACAGTGACTCTGAAGTAGGTAGGGAAGAATGAGTATACAGTGTGAGTGTAAGAAAGAGGCTAGGACAGAGCATGGGGATACCTACATTTAAAGGACCAGCAGAGTAAGAGACATTTATCAAGGATGCTAAAAAAGAGTAATAGAATGTTTAAGTGAAAAATGAAGAGAGTTTGGAAGCCTAGGTGTCAAAGGAAAGGTAGTGTTCTGTGTTTGTCTTTTTTTTTCACTTTTAAATCACTTTTATTTATTTTTTAAATTTTTAAATTGTTGTTCAAGTATAGTTTTCTTTTACTCACATCCCAGCCCCCCCCCCCCAGTTATAGTTTATGTGCAATATTTGCATTTGTTTGGGAAAGAGTGTTTTAAGGGGAATGACTTCAGAACACGGAGCATTGCTACTTGTTCATATCTGTATCTCTGGCACTGGACAATGCTTGACACACAGTGGGCACTGTTAGTGTTTGCACACTCCTTGGCTTGCCCTGCCTGCATCTTTAATGGAAGAATATATGAATATATATGAGGCTTAAATTGTGTTGAATTTCAGACTTCTGAATGTTAGGTCTTTATTTGTTTTATGGTTGGTAGCTTTATTTTAAGTTTTTAAGATTCATTGTCTCTTTGATAGAGAATAAGGATTGTCAGCAGTTACAGTGGTTAGACTGGGTTAACTTGAAAGGAAAGATGACCTCATAGATAGTGGTGACAGGATGGTGATTATTTTCTTAAAAAGAATTCTGCGAATTCCTGCCTCTACAACAGTTGTTCTTCTGTGGTTCTTATAGGCTAGCTTGAATATTTGGCATAGGGACACTTATTACATGTGCTGTATTTATTTTTTTATCTAGATTGGTAGCACGACTCTTTGAAACCAGTCCATTTGAGCCATGGACAACAAGGGATAAAGTGGAACGGGTGAGTATAAGTATGGTGAACATCTGCATGGGCAGACACTGGGCAGAGAGCTGCAGAAATGGATATTAGTAAAAGGCAAAAGATTTTTACTATTTGAAGAGAAACCGGAGTATAGAGATACATAAGTTAAAACCGATTTTTGTTTGCTTGCTTGCTGGGGTTATTTTCATGCTTTTGTCTGTCTCTTATCCTTCTCTGTGAGGTCAGCCCCTCACCCTGCGAGTGGATGAGTGCACTCAAACTCATCCACTCTCAGCTTGCTTCATAGTGTGGTTCCTCTGTTACTTTCTCTCTGACATTATAAATTTTTTTCTCTGTTGGATTATTCCCACCAGCATAGAAATATGTCTTAAGAGTTTCACGTTTTTTCTATTGAAAAATCATTTCTGTTTTTCAGTTAGAGTTGACATACTGACTGATCTTCCTGATAAATCTCACACCCATCTGACACCACACATAGAAGTTACAATATTATTCACTATATCCCCTGTGCTGTACTTTGCATCTCCATGACTGTAGTGTGACGGCCAGTTTGTACTTGTCATCCCTTCACCTTTTCACCTACCTCCCATCCCCTCCTATCTGGCAACCTTTAAAATGTTCTCTGTATCTGTTTCTTTTCTTCTTGTTCATTTATTTTGTTTTTTAGATTCAGTTGTTGATATGTATTTATCACCATTTTATTTTTGATATCTTTGATTTTTTTTATTTCTCTTAAATAAGTTTCTTTAACATCTCATATAATACTGGTTTGGTGATGATGAACTCTTTTAGCTTTTTCTTATCTGGGAAGGTCGTTATCCTTTGGTTCTAAATGATAGCCTTATTGGGTAGCATTATCTTCATTGTATAGATCCAGGCTTTTCATCACTGAATATTTCTTGTCAATCCCTTCTGCAAAGTTTCTGTTCAGAAATCAGCTGCTAAGTCTTATAGTAGTTCCCTTATAGGTAACTTACTGCTTTTCTCTGCTGCTTTTAAGATTCTCTCTCTGTCTTTAACCTTTGGCATTTTAATTGTGATGTGTGTTGGTGTGGACCTCTTTGGGTTGATTTTGTTTGGGACTCTTGGTGCTCTCTGGACTTCTATGTCTTTTTCCTTCACAAGGGTGGATAAGTGTTTTCTCATTTTTTAAAATAGTTTTTTAATTTCTTGCTCTCTTCTCCTTCCAATACTCCCATTATGTGAATATTGGTACCCTTGAAGTTGTCCTAGAGGCTTCATATATTATTCTCATTTTTTAGATTCTTTTTTCTTTTTGCTGTTCTGATTGCGTTTTCCTTCCTTACATTCCAAATCACTGATTTGATTCTCATCTACTCTACCATTGATTCCCTGTAAGTTAGTCTTTATTTCAGTTAGTGTATTCATTTCTGTATCTTTCATTTCTTTTTTATGCTGTTGAGGTTCCAAGTTCATTGGGCATCCTTATAACCAGTGTTTTGAACTCTGTATCTAATAGATTGCTTGTCTCCATTGTTTAGTTCTTTTTCTATAGTTTGTTTTGTTCTTTAATTTGGGACATATTTCTTGTCTCCTCATTTTGGCAGCCCGTACGTGTTTGTTTCCATGTATTAGGTAGAGCTGCTATGTCTCCCATGCTTGGTAGAGGACTAATGTAGTAGGTGTTCTATAGGGTCTGGTGGTGTAGTCTCCCTGATCACCCAACCTGTGCTCAAGGTGCACCCCCTATTTGGTTTGTGTATGTCTTCCACTTGTAGTTGAGCCTTAATTGTTGGTATATCATTGGGAAGTATTTACTCCAAGCCAATCAACTGCAAGGACTGGCTATGACCACCAACCTCTAACCACTGTGGAGGATCAGCTGTTCAGGGGCCCACCCCACAGAGCAGGACTTACTTCAGCGGGGCTCTGGTGCCTGCTGAGTCTATCCCTTGAGTGTGTCACTTGTGGAGGTGGTTGGGTTGTGATACTTTGACTTGGTCTGAAGCTGTCCACTGGGTGTGCTGTTTCAGGGGCCTTCTGTGAGGTTCAGGCTAATATCAGCCACTGCCTGTGTTCTGTCTGGGGCCACCAGCATGAGCTAAAAAGTGATCTGCAGATGGCTGCTACTTGCTCTGGGCTTGGAGGTGCCCAGGTAAGGCTAAGCTGCAACCAAGGCTGGCAATGCTAGCACTGGGCCTGGAGCCATTTAGCACAGTGAGGCCAGATGCTGCTTGTTTGAGAGATTTTAGGGAAGTTTGAGACATGAGCCAAGACCGGCCATTTGTATGGAAGAGCCACTGGAACTGGAAACATCTTGGGTGGGTCTGGAAGTTGGGTGGGGGAGAGCCTCAGGGAGTCTCCAGGGTGATGCAACCTGGTGCCTGGTCTCTTCCTGGCACTGGAACCCTGGGTGGGGCTGGAGGGGGGACTGGTACATGGCTGGGACCCCTTGTTCTTCATGGGGGAACCTCCATAGCAGAGGTGTCTTTCCTGGTTTTTATCTGCCACATGTGAGTTATGGTACTGATCCCAGACTGATCCTCATCTCCACCCCTCCTACCAGTCTTGATGTGGCTTTGTCTTTAAACCCCTAGTTGTACTTGCATTCAACCAGATTTCAGGCACTTCTGAATGATGGTTGTTCTTCAGTGTGGTGCCAGTGTGAGCCAGGTTGATGGAGTCTCAGATATAGCACCTGCCCGCCACCTCTGTTGCTCTGTTGGGGAGGGCTCAGTGAAGGAACAATGGCCTCTACCAGCTGCCCTCCCCCAAGCTTTCATCCTGATGTTAGATAGATAATTCAGTTCTTCCCTGTATGTCTCTGGTGCCTTTGAAGCTGCTGCATCTGTGATGGAGCTGAGAGGGAATGAGTCTGCTAAGTCTGTGTACAAGCCCTTTAAGAGGAACTGCCTGGGATTCCAGAAGCCCTTCATCTCCCTCAGCCCCAGTCCCTGCTGGTTGTCACAGCCAGAAGTTATGAGGCTTCTCTTCCTGGCACTGGAACCCTGGGTGGGGCTGGAGGGGGGACTGGTACATGGCTGGGACCCCTTGTTCTTCATGGGGGAACCTCCATAGCAGAGGTGTCTTTCCTGGTTTTTATCTGCCACATGTGAGTTATGGTACTGATCCCAGACTGATCCTCATCTCCACCCCTCCTACCAGTCTTGATGTGGCTTTGTCTTTAAACCCCTAGTTGTACTTGCATTCAACCAGATTTCAGGCACTTCTGAATGATGGTTGTTCTTCAGTGCACTTGGAATTTTGATGTGGTTTTGGGAGGAGGCAAGTACCACATTTACCTACATCGCCATCTTGACTGGAAGTTGAGCTCTATCTTTTTTTTTTTAAGGCAAATTCCTCCCTTCCTACCCTATTTGTCCCTTTGCATCAAAACTCCTCAGAAGGGCTGTCTGTACCTGCTGTTGATGGTTTCTTACCTCACTTTTTCTTTAACCCATTCCAATCAGGCTTTTATTCCCATTTTGCCCTTAAAACTGCTCTTTTCAAGGTCTCCTTCGATCTCTATTGTGCCAAATCCAATAGTGAGTTCTCTGGCATCATCTCACTCCATCCATGAGGTGCTCTCTCCTTGAAACCTGAATTTCCATCTATTTCCTGGCCAGTTCCACAGTATCTTGTTCTTCTTATTCTGAAGAAAGGCATTCTATTAGGCCATGCCTTTCGGTCTGCCTTCTTGGTTTGCCCTCTTTCCGATCTGTAAATGTTGGGGGATCCAAGGGCTCTCTCCTCAGCCTTTTGGTATCTTATCTCATCCTCTAAGTAACCCTCATCTAGTCCCATGCTCCAGCTGCAGTTTGTAACTCATAGCTGCAGTTGTATCTTCAGCCCTGAATTGCCCCCTAACGCAGCTGCAGACTCTAATCAATTTAGATAATATCATAGTCATCTGAAATAGAACATGTCCATAAATAGAATTGCAATTCCACCTTTCTCATCACAGTTAACAGTATCACTATTAGCTCTGTCAAGAGGGTAGGCATCCCTCTTGATTTCTTCCTTTCCTATCCATCTAGATCTAAATGAGAGCTCTCCAATCACACTTTCTGCAGTGATGGAAATGTTTCATAATGTGCAATGTCTAAGATGTAACCACCAGCAACATGTCACTGTTGAATAGTTGAAATGTGGCTTGTGTGACTCTAGAAATAAGATTTGAGTTATATTTAATTTTAATTAATTTAAACTTAAAAACTGGCTAGTGGCTACTGGAGCTCAAGCACAGCTTGAGACCATCAGCAAGTATGGTTTTGGCAGCCCTCAAAATATATGCCAGATCTTACAGCTTCTACCCTTTTCTACTTTTTTATTCATCTTTTTATTATGAAAATATTTATAATAGCATTGAAATTTTTCAACCTACAGAAAGGTAAAGAACATCATTGTCTCTACTCCATCCACTTTAATCCGAGTGGGTAACTTCTTTCTTTCTTATTCTCTTGACCAGTTTCCTGCCACCTCTCTAGACTCTCCACAGTGTGCTGGACTCCATAGCTCTGCCTCTTTCCTTCTTGTTGTCTCCTGTCCTAGTCTGATCCATTGATATTTGCCCAGTGCTGTAAAAGTGTTTCTAGGGAGGACTCAAAATAAAACAAAAGTAATGTACAGTCTCTACCTTTGAAGACCTGTTGACCTTTTATCAACGAGAAACAGCCAAATTGCCCTCTGAATGTAACCTAAAAGCTGAAATGTAGAGGAGGCGAACAGTAGTCCTCAGGGAACACGTGTGCATGGGCAGTCACTGTCCTCACCTCTGACAGGCTGGAAAGCTAACACTGTTTTCAAGGTGTCCCTTCTATGTTCATGGAAGATTGGGTAAGAGGATTGATGATCAGAACACTTCACTGTGTCTCACACTGATATGCCTCTTACATTCGTGATCGGAAAAGTGGTGCTGTAGTCGGCTGAGTGGGCCTTAGATTTGGTTTGGAGGTTGCTTTATGGCTCTGGTGAAAGAATCACAGACTGTCAGGTGGGAGGATGGAGATCTTTGGAAGTCTCATAGTTGATTCTCCTTTCTTACAAACAAGATGGGTTTGGATTTGTAGATTTGTACTTAACATTAGTCAACCAGGTTGGTATAGCTGGAACACAAAAGTTAATGTATTATCCCTTAATGAGCAAGGACAAATGTTAATTATTTCTTTAATTCAGTAGTTAAAATTGAGGCAGAAAGCCTGTGCATGGACAAAAAATACATGGTCTTTCAGTCCTATTTTACTCTTAAACCCTCCTATAAAGCCACCGCTGACAAATTTGATGACTTGTGCCCCTCGAGTTAGATTTATTTTTGTCTAAATCTGTAGAATGCTTCACTGAGAGCCTGTGTTCTGTGCTCATGGATAGTGCTGGGGGTGTTGAGCTGGTATTTGGTGACCTTGCCCTTTTTTTCCCTTAAATCCTTTTTCTCTGGTCTCCTTTAGTGAGTTTCAGGAATCCAACACTGCCACATATCCTTTGAAGACAGTCAAGTCTCAGTATCAGGACTCAGGCCAGTTTGAGTGTTAAGTGCTTGCTAGGATAGCACTTGGTGTTCCTGGCTAGATTTCAGCACTCTCTGTGGTTCTTTGTTTATTCAAAGGTTCACATCACTGACATGATATTGCCTCACCTGCCCGGCTTAGAAGATCTTGGTATTCAGGCCACACCACTGGAAATGAAGGCCATCGAGGTGCTGCGGCGTCATCGCACTTACCGCTGGCTCGCTTCTGAAATTGAAGATGTGAAGCCAGCCAAGACTGTCAACATTTAGTGGCCCCTGTGCTGCCCTTGTCTTTTTGGTGTCATTTGGGTCACCTGGCTATCACCCAGTCCACTTTCATCAGAAAATCCTGTAAATAGTGAATAAGATTTCTCTATTAAAACGTCTGAGGTTATATTCTGCAGCAGCATTTTCTTTCTTGATTTATAAAATTATAAATTCAGCTAATTATAATTGGATCATAATTTCATTTAAAAACATATATTTAATAATGACATGTATCATTTATCCTTTGAAATGCTGAAGGATTTGAATTTCCCTCTGTCAAGAAATTTCTTTCATAAGAGCCTCTTTTTAATGTCAAAATAATGTGACAACCACAAGTGATATGTAATTGTCTTTACCATTCATTAGTTGAGAAAATATGTAATATTCCATAGCTAATCTGAGTTTATTTTTAAAAATTAATCTGAATGACATTTACATATATTTTTAAAACAGTACATACATATAAAACATTGTAGACAGATTCTCAAACTCTGTGCAGTAATCCCATAGTCTTCTTCCCTGGTCTGAACTGCATGAGGTCTCTGTGCCCCACTGTCCTTCTTTGCTTGTCCTTTCATACTTCCTCAGACCAGTGCCAAAGGTTTCTTTTTAATTTTCTTTGGCCCTAAGGAATCCTGTTTTGGCCCTGGCTGGTGTAGCTCAGTGGATTGAGCACGGACCTGTGAACCAGAGGGATCCTGTTTTCTTTAATCTGAGTCACCTGGCATTACATTAGGTTCCTAATCAAAATGCCGCAGTGCCCAACTGAGCATGAAGGAAGTGTTCCCTAGGCCACACCAAGTAAGTCCTGAACCAGGCAACACTTTTCCTGATCCTTCTGAGTGAAGGCAGGTGGCTTTCTTCTCCATCTTCTGTTCTTCCCTCCAAAATCTTCATGTATTCTGCCTTTTAGGGTATTATTTAGTACCAACTATGCACAAATTTAACATAAAATATTAAGGTTTGAATTAACTTTATTTCGTATATTTAATTTTAAGTCTCTTAGAGGTGGAAGACCTTTACCAACAGAGGAAACAATTGTATGATCCCGAACTTTTTGAATTCTCTTCTGAGTGTGTGGAGATTGCATGTGACCAGGAACTGTACCGAGTACAAGATCCGGGCACCTGCATCCAGGGAGATTCTTATTACGATAAAAAGGGATGAGACTTCCGCCAAGATGGAGGCATAGGTGGAGACGCGGTGCCTTCTCACACAACCAAGTTTAGAGACAACTAAATATTAGCAACAGAAAACACAGCCAGAACACAGAAAATTGAACTTTTTGGAAGTCTGTTAACAACAAATTCTTCAGCCTGACCGGTAAGGGGTGAAACCAGCAGCTGCTGGAGTGGGGTTGCACAGGAAAACTCGGTCAGATGGACTGAGGCGCGTGGAATCCAGGCGCAGTGTTGGACCTAGTGAGAGACCGAGCAACCGACCGAGCGAGCAACCGTGGGGAAACAGCGAGGGAGCAGGGCTGCGGGTTGACTGTGGTCGCGCATTTGTGTGCGGATAGACAAGCGACGGAGTGGGCAATTGGACTGGGACCCAGCGGGTCCCAGCGGCAAGCGGCAGCGGAGGGCACCGCCGTTTCCCTGCTCTGACCCCACCTCCACATACAGCGTCATAACCCAGTGACTCTGAGTGGCCTGGCCCTGGTGAACCACCCAAGGCTCTGCTTCTCACCCAGCTGTGAGAAACAGCAGAGGGGGCCGCCATTTCCCCGCTCTGACCACGCCCCCACATACAGCATCACAACCCAGCGACCTGGGAGTCCAGGGCTCCGCTCCTCACACTTAAAGGGCACAAGCAGACCAAAAATGGCTCAAGAAGATCTCAAAGCCCCAGAGCCTATAAATCTAAGTGATGAAGAAATAGCAAAACTCTCAGACGCACAGTTTAAAACACTGGTCATCATGATCCTCACAGAACTGGTTGATTATAGCCACAAATTAGACAAACATATGAAGGCGAAACTAATTGAAATGAATGGAATTGCACAGGAAACCAATAGTGATGAAAAGGAAACTGGGACTCAAATCAATGGAGTGGACCAGAAGAAAGCAAATAATGGCCAAACAGAAAAGAGTCAAGAAGCAAGAATTCAAATAAATGAGGAGAGTCTTAGGAACCTCCAGGACATCTTTAAACGCTCCAACATCCGAATTATAGGGGTACCAGAAGGGGGAAAGGCACAGCCACCAGTGGAAAACTTATTTGAACAAATAATAAAAGAGAATTTCCCCAATCTGGCAAAGGAAATAGACTTCCAGGAAATCCAGGAAGCTCAGAGAGTCCCAAAGAAGTTGGACCCAAGAAGAAACACACCAAGGCACATCAGCATTACATTAGCCAAGATTAAAATGAAGGAGAGAATCCTAGAAGCAGCAAGAGCTAAGGGGACAGTCACCTACAAAGGAGTCCCCATCAGGCTGTCAGTGGATTTCTCAAAAGAGACCTTACAGGCAAGAAGGGGCTGGAAAGAGGTATTCCAAGTCATGAAAACCAAAGACCTACAACCAAGATTGCTCTATCCAGCAAAACTTTCATTTAGAATGGAAGGACAGATAATGTGCTCAGATAAGATCAAATTCAAGGAGTTCATCATCACCAAGCCCTTATTATATGAAATGTTAAAGGGACTTATCTAAGAAAAAGAAGATAAAAAATAGGAGCAGTGAAAGGACAGCAAACTCACAGTTAGTAACAACCACACCTAAAACAAAAGCAAACTAAGAGGACAGCTAGATCAGGAGTGGAAACATAGAAATGAAGATCTCAAGGAGGGTGAGCAACAGGGGAGTGGGAGGAGGAGAAGGGGAGAGAAGGTACAGAAAATAAGTAGCATAGACAGTAGATAGAAAATAGATGGGGGGCAAGAATAGTATGGGAAATATAGAATCTAAACAACTTGAGACACATGGTAATAAACTAAAGGGAGGGTAATGGGGACGGGGAGGTAGCATGGTGGGGAATGAAGGGGGGAATAGAACAACTGTAATGGCATAATCAATAAAAAATAAATTAATTAAAAAAAAAAAGGGATGAGTTGTCCATTTAGTCTGCTTTTCCTATCGGGACTTCAAACCCTGCCCTGTGGGAGGTACACCAGTAGCCCTGCTCTCTGGATTAAGTTGCTCTCTACCTGATTGTCAAAGCCGATTTGGGCCTGCAAGACTATAAACCCACCCTTTTTATCATAACATTGTCGTTTATAATTTACCTACATTTCTCATTACACCTCTGTGATCCAACAGATCTATTTGCCTTCTGATCCTACTCTAAATTCTAAATCCTTTTTGTCCTGGGCCCTCCTTGTATATTCAGCTTTGCTTGGCTCTGTAGTCACCTCCAACTTGATCCTAATGATACACGTAAGTTCTCTAATGGAAGCATTTATGGAGGTATATGTTAGAGCACTGAGCATAGGAAGAAGAGGCTATCTCAGAACAGTTAGGGAAAACTTCATAGAAAATGGATTTGTAAAGCTGCCTTGAGGATAACCAGGTGAAATGTGGGAGTGTGCATGTGAGTGTGTGTGTGTGAGAAAGGTGTGTGTGTTTGTGTGAGAAAGAAGCAGTTGGTGTGAAGAGAAGAGCAAATGCACTGGGGCTTGAGAGAAAGTAGGTGTTTACCAGGATGCAGGGGCCAGTCAGTGTGTCAGGAAAGAGCAGTGAGGAGTTTAACCTTTATCTTTAGGTGATGCAGAATGGTTTAGCTGCTAAGCTCTGTACAGGTTTGGGGAATGCCATCACTTCTTAGCTGTGAGATTTGGACAAAATCACCTGACCTCAGCTTCAATTTCCTTGTCTGTAAAAGGGAGATGATGATGATGATAATACTCGAAAATAACCTACATCATAGCATTACAGTGAGGAATTAAATGTGATAAAACTTCTGAAATGCTGAGCCCAGCATATGGTAGGCAGTAAGTGGATGTTATCATTTAAGTAGGAAACACCATGACTGAGTCCATGCATTTGTTTCCTGACTTAAAGTAATAGCTGTCTTTTTTGAGGGAGGGGTGATCCCTGTTTTTTAAATGATGGAAGTGGGCTTATAGAAGGTAAACAGTCCCATTAGTACATGGCTGAGCTGCTTTTTGGCCTAGATCTATGTGGCTCCTAACCATGCCCTGTTCCAAGGATGCTCAGGAGAAAGATGTACATGATCAGACTGACACTCTAGAAGGTGATGGAATGAATAGGAAGGGAAGGCATATTTGAAGAAACCTTTCCAGTGAAGGAAAGGTCTGAGAGAATGAGAGCAAGAGCAGGGCTGAAGGTTGAAGGGTGTAAAAACAAAAACAAGAAACAAATTCACACTTAGTAAGGAGAGACATTTATCTGAAAGGATTATTGTAAGGGAGGGAAAGGACTATTACAATTAAAGATCAGAACAAAGCCTGAGCAGTGGTGGGGGTTCTCAGGACCTGGAGTGAGCTTGTGGGAAAGGGGTGGAGGATTTGAATGCCCTCTGGATTCTGTAAGAGCTGGAATGCAGGGAGGTTTTAGGCCATTTATATGCTAAATAGCTTTATCCAGAGGAACAATGAACCACCCTTACCTATATGACAGGAGGTAGTTCTGTAGATTGGAGCAGGTGCCCACTGCCCACTGAAGTTAGGTTCCTACCTCCTGCAGAAGAGGGAGATGGGGGTACTGCCTCCCTGATAATTTCATTTTCAAGGTATGGCTCTCGAGTCCTTGAGAAAGATGTTCCTGGGTTTTAAAATTGGCAAGAGGCTTTTTAAAAGATTTATGTCCATCTTTAAGGAACAGAGAATTACAAGTTCCTAAAGAAAATGCTCTTAGGGAGGTCAGGGGCCTAAAGTCAGGAAGAAGTCTGTCTAAAGTTGCTTCAGCTGCTGGAACGGCAAGGCCCTCTCCGTCAGGGCATGCGCAGATTTCAGCAACTTGATGAGCATTGGGGTGGTGCTGGCATAATTTGTGCTGCCTGGCCCTGGAGGACAGTGGAAGGGACAGAATTCAGAGCACAGATGGGGGATGAGCCTCAAACACCAGGCTAGTGTGGGTTGATAGTAATATGATTTCAATATCACATATTACTATTACTATACATTATTTTGTATTATTATATGCATTTGTTAATGTTAAACACAAA